GCGGACTGGCTGCGCATTCTTCGAGGCGGCGAAGCAACGCACCCTGTAGACTGCATCGGGTTGCGTCCGTGCGTGGAGCGTTGGGCCGCGTGAAGCATGGATGACAACAACTGTAGGGAAGACTGAAAAAATTGTTCGATGCGAGCACCGAACAAGTCCTGCTTGGATACTCAAAAAAGAAAAGTCTGCTTTTCGTGCGAAGAGCACAAAGAAAAGTAAAAAGTTCTGCTTTAGGCAACTGCCTAGCGAAATAAAGTCTGCACGGGGCTAGGAAGCAGCTGCGAAAGAAATAGAGAAAGGATTAGAAATGAAAGTACAGCAATGCATGCATTCGCGCAACACATGGGCTTAAAAAGACCCAATCTGTTTACGCGATGTGAGAGCGCGCAGTAAAGTCTGAAGTATTCGAAATTCTAATCCGCGGCAGCAAATGCTTTGCCATAGGCATGGCCAGCGGAAAAGAAAACGAAAACCTCAAACTCCACCGCGAACTATCTGCCTTTAGCGCCGAAGCGTAAAGCAGAATGCTCACATGCAAAGCAAAACCGACTTACAAATCGTATCCTCCTCGTCCGTTTTGAAGACGAGTCCCTGCTTGCGTCAGCGCCGCACACAACGTCGTCCTGCCATGAAGAGGCGCAGCAGGCGGAGAGGGCTTCGGCGGCGACGAACTGCGCATTTCTGGGCTAGTGTGCGGCTGCACTTTTTGTAAAAAGGGGCAAAAGAAAGTCTGATTTGTGTGCAAATTGCACTTTTTTGAAAGGAAATTCAAAAGAAAAGTCTGGTCGGCGTGCAATCGCATTTTTCCAAAAATAAACAAAAGAAAATATTCTGCTTTGAGGGAGAACCTAAAAGTTTTGCTGACTTGTATCGGCTTGACCAAGCTGATGGCGATGTGCAAGCACAAAGACCGATTTGCCTGGGTATAGCTTCAACAAACAGCTCAAAACTCTGCTTTATAAGCGCGGAAAAACAAAACTAAGGTTTTGTTCTGGCTAGCGATGAGGCAATCCAAAGAAAATGTCTGATTGAAGAAAAATCTTCGTAAATTAGGGTCTGGATGGGAATCCCAGGGGAAGACGAAAGTCTGCTTTGAAAAGCAAAGTCACCGTTGGCGAGCGTCTGCCTCATCGCTGGTCGTGGCTGCAGTTGATCAGGCCGCGCTTGACGAGACGAAGCGAGCATCTGCCGAGGAGTGGAAATCTGGTTTAATCTAAAAGAAAGAAAGTTTGTCCCGATAAACGAGCGCAAACTTCTGCTTTATTTCGGCGCTGATTGCGCGGATGACTGCATGAATATAGCAGCCAACCGGCAATCAAGGCGCCTTTTGCGAGCGTGCACGGGGCAAGCGCTCGGCTGGAAATCTGCTTTGAGGGAAGAAAAACTGCTCAAAAATGAGCAATTCTGCTTGGGTTGACGGAGGAAACCTGCTTCGCTAAAAGGTTTGTACGAGGAACCGTTGTTTAAAATTTAGAAAAGAAATTTTGAATTCTGAGCTAACTGGGATGTTTGCGAAGTAAATCGTACACCACCAGCGTGCTTTGAACCCAAAATTTTGACAAAACATTGGCAAAAGAAAGAGAAAACGGATCAACGTACAAAATACCTTTTGCGAATCCATCGGCGAGCTGGTCCGGCGCTTGTGCAACCTTCTTCGCTTCTGGTGCTGAAGTTTCGACCATCTGCTCGGCAGCATCGGCGCTTCTTCGTCGTATTGCTTGTCCCAAAACGTCCAGCCGGTCGAAATCAAGACTGCTTTCGAAGAAGAAGGGCTTGAGACTGCTTTTCGAAAAGAATACAAGTTTTTTCCGCTCTAAAAGAGCTCAAAAATTTCTGCTTTTTTACTAAAAAGGGAGAGTCTGCTTGAAAATAAAGGCAAAAAAGTCTGCTTGGGTGAGAAATGATGCGAAAAGTCGCACTGGAACAGCGAAAGCTAACCGCAACGGCTTTCTCAAGGCCGAGGGTCTGCAATCGCCTCTAGAAAATTTCAAAACTGACCAAATTGGTGAGATCTGGGCCTGTTCCTCGATGAGCGCGCATTCCACCGAGGGCCGGCCCGTCGCTGCCGTCTTGGTCGGCACGAAAACACGGAATCTTCCTTCCTAGGTGAAATGCTGCAGCCGTGTAAAAACTAAAAAAGGAAAATTAGACTGGATTGGCCGAATGGCGAAGAGGATCTGGCTGCAGACCGAAATCCGGTGATTGGGCAAGCCCAAAACCACAAAAGTGCCTGCTTTTTGCGTTTAGCACAGAGCTAAAAACGCAATTCTGCTTTGTCTGCTTTCCCCTGATAGTTTCCTATCAGTCTGGCTTTGGAATTGAAGATTTCTGACAAGACATCCTTCTTCTTCTGGAATTTGCCATCGCCTGAGGTACAGCAAATACTTCTCCTCCTGGCCTCGCAGATTTCTGCAACAGCTACGGGCGGACGTCAGGGTCCTGCTCCCGCTTTCGCGCCGCATTTGCGAACGCTATCCATGGAACACTGCCAGTGTTCCAAACGAGGGACTAGAGTGGTGAATAACATCCTAAGATGTTAAACTCAGCCGGCAAGCCGAACCGTGAGAAGTGTCGGGACGTGTACTTGATCAACCGACTTTCGCTTCCCAAAGGTGGGGGCCGTGTGCACACGGCAAATGAAGAAAAAGGTCGCCTAACCGAAGTGCCCGGAACGCGCTAACTTACCAAGAGGTTCTGGGTTAAACGGCAATGCAAGAAGACCCGGTTGAACCTGGTCGAAGCACCATGACGAAAGCAGCGGCCCCCGCAACAGGAAAAACCCGGAATAATGCCCACGCGAGGGGTGCCACCCGCTAACCTTGTTGAAGGAAAGACTGCACCAAAAGAACGCGCGGTCGGCTATCAGCAGTAGTATAAGATGCATTCCCGAATAGCCTGGACACCTTGTTGAATAAGAGTTTATTAGTACACGTAAGAACACCGGAGGTCTGGATTGGGCGAGCCAAGGGAAAGGTCTGGGCAAAGGAAGCGGGTAGCCGGGTAGGGGAAACGGGGCACTCTGGGTAAGGGGCTCGCCGGGCCACCGGATCGGGGATGCAGGACACACGCACCAACACCGAACGCCCACCAGTCATAGAAATGACTGGCGCCCCCAGTTTGGGAGAAAATGCACGACGGGGAAAAGACCCCCCCGGGCCGGGGCGGCCGCCACGGGCCCGCGGGGGGGCGCGCCGGGACCAGGGGAATTGGCCGCCCGCCAGCCGCCTAATTAAACCCGAAGCCGTAGAACGTAAGTTTCTACAGAACTTTCGACTTGGAGTTGTTATGTGAAACTTTGAACGGTTAGTGTATTTTTGAAGAAAAAACGAATTTTGGGCAATTTTTTAGAAAATTTTCATGAGTACTCTGCGTTAAAAACGTTACCGTACTGCTTCCCCTCTATAACAGTACAGTACCGAAAATATGTGTTTACAACTCTTTAAAAGCTCGTTTTTTTTCAGGAAGCCCCAGCCCTGTGCCCATTCGCTGCCAGCCACGGAGTACACCACGCACCCCTTGACGCCGTCCACCACCAGCAGCGATTGATCAAGCCGAAGAGCCTTAAGGTTTCACACACGATTTTTTAAGCTTATAATTTCCAGGTCCTCTCCCAATACGAGCAGTGCAAGCTGGAGTGCAAGAAGCAGAGGGACCAGGTCACCGCCCAGCAGGTATTTTTATTTCTTTCTTCTAAAGCTAAGTAGAGTGAAATTTTTTTGGCTCTTAAAATAAGCCTCGAAACTCTATACCATATTTTTACAGTACGTCGAGCAGCTAAAGACTGAACTGGCCGCCGCCGAGCAGGCTCTCATTGACCAGGCCGCTGCCGTCGAGGCACACGCCGAACCGGCCGCTATTGCACCCCACGATACCGTAGGTTTTCAAAAATTTAGAACAGAAACGGTAGCTTGTAGCTTCTACTTCAAACTTTGGTGCTTTTGCATTACGGGTAGAGGAGTCAAACTTAGTTAATAGAAACTTAGTCGTTAAAAGTTGATTTTCCTTATAGAGGAAACAATTCGAAGCTGTTAGCTATTTATAAGGGTAAAAACCTTACAAATATTGAGGTGAAGCACAAAAAAAACTATACGTTTTTTGACGGAAAGGGTCGATTTTCGGTGGAAATTTGAATTTTTAGAAAGCTTGAGGTTTTTCCTATAGTTTTTCCACTTGAAATATTGTTAAATTTTACTAAAAATACTATTAAAAGAATTATTATGCGTTCTGAGGCATTTCTTGTCTTAGGAGGCCCCCACTGTTAAGTATAACAAAAAACCTTTAGCCGGCCGTCGAGCACCACGCCGAGCCGGCCGCCGCCCACCCGGCTGCCTAAATACCACACGGAAATTCCCCTATAGGATTTTCCAATTCTCAACGCACCAAATGCTCAATTTTGTGATACAAACAAATTTCTATCAAAAACGAATAAACTTGTAAGACTATAATATACAAAAAAAAAATAGAATCTTTATCGGATCTGAATGGCAAATGGCAACTCGGGGGCACCCTGGGTTAAATTAGGCAAAGAATATACAGGCATATTAACGGTTTCAGAAAAAATTAACATAAAAAATGAGGTAGTCCGCGGGGATCAACGGCGCGAGAATCCAAAAAATAACTGAAAAGCGGCATTTTCTAAATATTAATACCGTCCCCAAGGTTGTAAAAAATCGAAAAAAATGATTTTTAGGGTTTGGAAGGCTTTGTTAAGATTGTGAGGCTAAAAACCGCTAGCAAAACTAATTATTAGCTCTTTCTCTGGTCTACAGATCGGGAAATCGGCAAAATACCGACAGTTCAAAATACGGACAGCCGGGATGTCGACAACCAAAACCCCGAAAATAAACGTTTAAAAGAAAGAAGTATTCAAAAAACGTCAAGAATTTTTCGGCATTTTTGGACTGTCGGTATTATGATTCATGCTGTTAGCGGGGCAGTAAGGCGTTCGGGGATGACTAGAAAATAGTGGGCAACGAATTCCAGGGCGTTTTTAGAATTTAGAGCTCCTCTCGCCACACGTTGAAGTCAATGTCGGGTACTTCGTCGCATCTGAAAAAAATAGATAAGTAAAGAAATATAAGTATATAGAAAATTATAAAAATAACAATTTTATATGAAAAATGGATAAAAATTCAGGTAAAAAAAATCTATCACCTCAACAGCTCATCGTCGTTTGGCTTGAACGTGTCGAAGGCTTTTCGTGGGACCTGAAATGGGCAGAATTTTAGCGTATATTTCACGCACATTTATGATTATGGTTATACATTATGATTCGCAATTTTAGGTATATAAAGTTCATAAAATATTAAAATATTTGAAAAAATTAATTCTTGCTCGAAAATGTGGGAAAATCGCAAAAATTCATGTATTTAAAATTTCTAAATAGATTTCTGGCTGTTTTGGTAACAAAACTATTATTAAACTACTTATTATGCGATTTTTAAGTGTGAAAAATTCATAAAAAGGCCTCTAAATCTTCGAAAAACTGAATTTTAGACAAATTTTTAAAAATTCCAATTTTCTAAAAATATTTTTACGGTTTTTAACGCTGAAAAACTAATGAAAGCGCTATAAAAATGCACTAGACACTAGAAAATTGCGATATAGCTCCCCCCCCGTTAACTGTCCAGTACCAATACACCTACCTCGGTCCAGTGATCCCCGGCATTACACAGTACACGTGCTATCGTCACCTTCTGAATCTGCCGCAACTGGTCCCCAGTGAATATCTTCGGGTTTTCAAAGTAGAATCTAAAAGATTTAATGCAATTTAACCATAATAACTGACCTATCTCCATCTCTGCTTCGCTTGAACTGCTCGCCAATGATGCAGGACAGGGTCGGGCCGACGAGACCGCCAGGTACCGGGTCTTCTAGCAGCGAGCCAACGTACATGTCGATGTTGTCTAAAAATCGAGGGTTTCGAAGATACGTATCAAAAATATGATTCTACGCGACTTACCAACATGCTTGTACAGCAACTTCAAATTGTCGACCAACACCGGGTTCTTGATGGTCATCTTGAGGTCGTCAAAGTCCCGGATCTCGTTGAGAGCACAGAATTTGCGCCAAGCCGTGAATGGGGGAACACCGTGATCACGGCCGCGTTGGATGTTGATCGAGCCCAGATCCGAGTTGCCGAAGATGCGCTCCGTGACGCCGAGGGCCAATCTGGAATTGAGGTTTTGATTTCGAATTTCCCATCTGTGCATGCTGCTTGAAGTAGTTAAGTGCTTTTGCATTATTGGGGGAAGCAACGTTTCCCTAGAATTTCATTTTCCTAGTGAAAAGCATAAGTGTTAAACTGTTTTCCCACTATTCCTAACGTAAAAAGTTCAAATTTCCGGAAAAAATGTGTAAAAAATGGATTTTCCAACCGGAAATGGCCAATTTTCGAAGGTTGTTAGATAGTTTTTCACTTGTCAGTTCGTTAAATTTTACTAAACCTATGATTGAAACACTTACTACTACGATAAGAGGCGTTTCTGCCTATATAGCCCCCCGATAACGCTAAAGGGCCTGGTTTTCGGGGTTCTGTCAGCTTTCCGTAACATACCTTTGCGGCATTTTCGCGGATAGTGTTAGGAATCCTCTCAACAACGGGTCAACGCCATTATTGATGATGTGGGTACTCTTGAACATTCCCTCGGTGAACGGGATGCCACCGATTTGACGGAAACGCTCGTCGAGGAATGGGTAGAATTCCTAAAGATTTTTTTTATTCCTAAAGAGTTGGCTGGTTACGACATGAATTTCTTAAAGAAACATTCAACTCCCAGCTTTTGACGAAAAAGCAAAAATCGTGTCACGGCGGGGGGTCGAACCCGGGCCTTGAGCGCGGCGGGCGAACCCAAAACCAATGAGCCAGGTTTTTCGACTTTATAAAATTGTGAGGCGAATGCTTCTTTAAGTCCTATATTCCGTAATTTTTGCATCCCTACGTGCCCCTATACCATCCAGATTCTACGGCGCTCTGGCTCACCGCCTTTTTTTGGGCGATGCCTCTAATGGAGCGTGAACTATTCGACCCCCGGTGGCTACGAGAGGGCGCAAAAACGACTTTGGAAATAATGCCCGCGTAAACCGGCTTCTTCCCGGAATTGGACCTTGAGCCCGAGCAAATAATCCAATCCGCGTTCTCTGTTACAGCTAGCAAAGATTAGCTTGGAAATCCGGAGCCTACCTGAATCATGCCATGCCCGAACCGGAAGGCGCACGAGGTGAACTCGTTGGCGACGGCCGAGTCGACATCTTCCTAAAATAAAGGACAGGTGGTAAAATTAGGTCAAGAAAAAGAAATATAATAAAATAAAAATGACACTTACGTTGTAACCCTCGTACCGTCCGATCCAGCGCTCGAATTCGTCACCAAGAACGCGCGGTAGATACTCCTAGAAAACGGCGGCTTAATCAGTACTTGGCTGTTAGCGGGGGGGGACCGAACGAAGCAAAAATTTTAGCGTATTATCGTGCTTTAATAGCTTTTGATCGCCAAAACATAATAAATTTTTTAGAGTTTTTATAACACTAAATTTTGACCAAATTTTTCGATGATTTTAATGATTTTTGGGAATTTTCGATGCTTACAAAGATGGTAAAAATCTGAAAAATAGCGTACGAGTATTAGTAATTAAGTTACCTTGTAAGTAATCCGCTGCAAAATAGCGCCCAACACTTTGCGAGTCTCGTGGAAAACGCGCTCCTGGTCCCAGTGGCTATTCACTTTCTGGAGCGTTTGGGCAATTCTGAAACGGTCTTTACGTCTGATTTTCAAGATATTTACTTGTTGTGTTGACGAACAAATATGGTGTGAAGGGCGGCGAGTCCGACAAAGATATTCGCCCGGTCATCTCCAGCAACAACGTTCATGTTCGTGTCGATCGGGGGGAAGACGCGAGAACGGACGACTCGGGTCTAAAAAGGAGAAATATTCTATCACCTTTTTAATTAAATTATCTGTCAAATTATCGACTAAGTTTAAGTTATACACACCTTGAGAAAAGCGCCCTGGCGGAAGAGGAACTGATCACGATCCGATGAACCATAGATCTAAAAACTTCCGTTTTTACCCGTAAAATTACCATACCATAGAGCCATCGATGAAGGCGGTATTCTCGTTGTACTGCTCGCGCGGCGAATCTTGCCCACTTCCACAAACGGGAGTAGAACGGGCAACCGGAAGGCAGAGGAAACGACCGAAGCTAAAAGGAGCCCAACCAGCTAAAAACCGAAACTACAACGTACGTCGGATCATTCCGGGCGAGGAACACGGAAAAGCATTTCCCGCCGGCTGGCGTGCATTGCGCGCATTCCTAAAGGTTGGACGATGTTTTTGTACATTGTGTGGGGAGAACAGAATTTTTGCTGTAAGCCAGCAATTGTTAGCAATGTGATAATCATTGTTTTAATCGTATTTTTTAATAAAATCTAGCCGTATTCCAAACGTGCAAATTATCTAAAAAACTTAGAAGATTGTGAAAATTTCGGTAGAAAACCCACCATAGTTTTTATATTGATATTATTTGTGGCTTGCTCTAAAGATTTCCCCCCCCCGATAATGCAAAAGCTCCCGAAAAACTCACTTGGTTGTTGAGCATGGTGGTTTTCGAGACATCGTGGGCGATAAACTGACCCCACTGCATCAGCAAGGCGTTCGAGCGGTGTGTCAGCTGGAAAAGTCAGATTGTATAGCACATTTACGAAAATCGTATGCCCCGCAAGATTTTCAAAAAGCCAAAAATTAAATTTAAAAAGGTGTAAACGTTTAACAAATTAAGACGTCACCAACCTGCGATGGTGACGCTAACAAAAGTCGTGAAGCCTCACGAGCCGATGGTCGAGTCCGGGTGAACGAAGCTGAAAAATTAAAATTTTTATTATTCTTCGCTTTCGGTCTAAAATTCCGTCTACAGTCGTTGAACTTACAGACTGGAGCCGAGATTCCGTTATCGTAGGCCGGCTGCTTGAGACGCATCAGTGCCGAAAAAGCGGAGCCCATTAGCGGACGGTCAATGTTGTTGCAAGTTCCATCGAATGAACGGTATCTGAAAATGGGCGCATCATAAAAGTACGGGATTAATTAGATCCTACTATATATAAAAAAACCAGCGCTGACCCCCCGCTACGCGGGGGTTCAGCGCTGGCCCTCTCCACCCAAAATTTGAATTTGAAATTTGAATGCGGAATTTGGCTGAATTCCTGGACGCGGGCGGACGGACATTAGAAATTTAGATATAGTAGATAGTGTCTGTGTGTGTGTGTGTGTGTCGATTTGCATGCAACTTCCGTCTCTATGTCCGGAGGATAACTCAATAGGGGATGAATTTTAGGGTACGTATGATACATTATTAGGTGCGTAATGGCTCTGCGATGACTGCAGACTTCTCAGAATTATCAAAATAAGCCATTTTCGATATTAAAAATAAGTTTTTCTAAAATTTTCGTGCACCCTCTTTGTTAGAAAACAATTAGCATAGACCGGAAGTAGAAGAAGCCTATATAAGGGGATGGAAGGAAATCTTTTCATTTTTTAGCAGCTTGATTGAAGCGAAATTATGCAAAGTTTACAATTTCATTTGTCCAAACGGGCCCAGGGTTGAAAAGTCGCGAAGCGGCTTTTCAACCCTGGTCAGTAATTAATAAAATTCATACTTGAGATGGTAGCAAAGGTTCCTGCGGCAGCTGCCCGCCTTCAAGGTGGGGGCACAGCCAAAATTGGCGTTCGATTGGCGCACATCGTTGATGGAGATTGTACGTCGCATCGAGGTATCTAAAGCAATCGTTTTATGTCGCCTCGAGGTATCTGAATCGGCTTTAAAAGCAGCTTTACAGCTTTACATACCTTCATGGGTCGTCACAAAAGTGCATTCATCTTCGGTAAACTCGTGTGTGCCCGCGCTTCGCCCATCGATGGTATCACCTGAATGGTTATATAGGTAAAAAAAAAAAAACCAACAAACAAAAAAAAAAAAAAAAAAAAAAAAAAAAAAAAAAAAAAAAAAAAAAAAAAAAAAAAAAAAAAGAAAAAAAAAAAAAAAAAAAAAAAAAAAAAAAAAAAAAAAAAAATGGGGGGGGGAATTAGAAGAAAAACTATATTAGACGTTATTTTCTCAAGAAAACTACGACGAAACTAACATTAAAAATATGCATCGACTAACATAAAAAATGTTCTAAATCCCGAGCTTTTTCATCTGGAGGCGAATTCGGGACACTTTTACTTCACAATTTTTCGCTTACAGATACAGCTAATATTTCACTATATTCCTAGCGTCTTACGCCTTACAAGCTTCTATAAAAAATGCAAAAATATAGATTTTTCGAGCAAAAACGACCGATTTTCGATAAAACCACAACTCTAAAAATTGCTTTGTTTTTAGATAGTTTTTCGGCTTGAAATATCGTTAAATTTTACTAAAACCTAGATGAAAAAGTTTCCCCCGATAACGGGAAAGAACTTTAAAATACAATAATAAAGCGTTCTTTTATTAGAAATTTCTAAATTCAAGCAAAGAGCAATTTCTAAAACAGAAAGTCACCCACATAGATAAAAACTACAATAAGGACTTTCCTTGACTAACAAACAATATCTGAATTCCAACTACACAACAAGATTCTAATCCTAAAAAGTCATCCAACAACATAAAAAATTCAAAAAACTTCTCTGCACGCACCCTTACACGCTTTACAAGCCGACGGGCAGTTGGACAACATCCACACGGCATTCGTCTCGCACTCGTTGATCCCGGCCCAGAATTGGCACAGACGATGTTTGTCGATGCACACCGACGTTCCTAAAAATAATTTTTTGTTTAAAATTGGTTTTTATGGGTTTTTTTCTATAATTCCAGAAATTCCTTTAATTGTGTTTTCAGTAAATTATCACTATGATTTAGGGGGAAACGCCATTTTTAAAGCTTTTAAAAATATCGAAAAATTCTATATTTTGATCGAAACATCAAGTTTTGTCTTTATAAAGTTTTTTACGTTTAGAAGAACCTAATTTTTATGATAATACCTTAAAAAACGTACCCTTGCATTTATCACAGGACAACGGACAGTTCTCGCCCATCCACTCGTCGTTGTTCTTGCACTCGTTGATCGACGCCCAGAACTGAACACGAGTAAACGTTTAAAAAGAAGAATGAGGCTTCACCTTGCACAAATCGTGCCTATCGCGGCAAAGCTTCGTTCCGGCTGTCTTTCCGGCCTTCCCCTCTTCCTGCCCGTCGTCAGCTTGTACAGAATGATTTTTAACGGGCCGAGGCGGCGGGCCAACTTTTTTAGGGTCCTACTTTTCTAATTTAAATAGGGGGATTTTAGACCTATGTTACTATTCCCAAAAGGAAAATTATGACAGATTTTGTGAAAAAAAATAAGAAAAATTTCGATTTTTCATCCCTAAATGACCGATTCTTTGACCAAATTGTCAAATTGTTCTGATTTTCTAAGATAGTTTTTCCATTTTCATCGTTAGATAATTTACATAATTTTATTAAGAAGAAATAACATAGATTCTGGACCAAAAGCTGTAAAAAGAAACCCCAAACTTTAAATTTTATAAAAACCTTCTGCCGATGATGATCCAGCAGTTGTCGTGTCGGTATCCTCATCGGTCTAAAATTCAGTGAAGGTAAGAATTTTTCTGGTTTTTACACGCGAAGCTGGAAGTGAGAATGCCTGCAAAGCTTCATAAGACTCGATACTGGCCGTGGTTAAAAGCTGTATCTCATTGCAATAAGCACAATTTTAGCCAGCTAAAAGCGTATCCTTTTAGCAGTAAGCAAATTCTTAGCTATCTATTTTCTAAACCTACACTAGTAGTGTTTTTTACCGAGCTCGGGGTGGTGGCCGGCTGAAATTTGATGGTTTTCAAATTTTTCACTGTCACAACGAAATTCCGCTACGCCCCAAACTACAAAAGAGCATTTTTTTTTATTTACCATTGCCCTCTCGGCGCTTGTTGTGGGTTGATGGCCAGGAGGCGAGGATTCTTCCATGCCTAAAATATAAATAATCTCGATTCTTTGAGAAACAAGTCTTCAGGAGTTCGTTGTCAGATTCCGGTTAAGCCAACCAAGCCAAGTCCAAGTGCTACCTGGAGCGTTGGCCATGTCCACCTCGTTTTCCTCATCTTCAGCCGCCCAGGCGATGTGGAGAAGGCCTGAAAAAGGGAAGTTGAATTTTTAGGACCTTGTGCATTAGCGGGGGCTGTAGAAGCGCAGAAATGCCTAGTAACGTAATATTACATGTTTTAATATTTTTAACATAATTCGACTATATTTCAAGCAAAAAAAACTAGCTAAACAACTTTTTCAAAATGGCTTTTCTGGACGAAAACCGTTGTTTTGTATTTAAGTTTTTACGCTTAGGAATGGCAAAAACCACTTAAAAACGCTTCCTCTATTTTTATTAGCGAAATTGGGCCCTAAGAAAAAGCTCCCGCCGATGATGCAAAAGCTCCAATTATCAAAGATAGAATTCCCTTTTCTATTTACCGCCCGCACGACCGTTCTCCCCTCATCTTTGTTTCGCCCTCCCCCGCTAAATGGCAACATTTCTACCACCCCCAACAAGTGGGAGTAGGAAGTGAAGATCGGGGAAGAAAATAAAAGAGAAAGGAGGGGCACTGGTCAGTGGCTCGGCCGTCTGGCAGCAGCAGCAGCACAACCAGTTCCGTTTTCGGCCCTTCACCCTCCATAGATTCGCCCAGTTCGGAGCTCTTATCGTCGAATAATAGATCGTCTACGCCCCGATGGCTCTTCACGGCCAAGTGCAAGGGCAACGGTCAGGGTTTAGGCTGGCTTTCATGGGAAAACCGAACGTTTTCGGAGAAATCCTATGGATGCCTAGCGGATTTTGGTGCTTGCGCATTATCGGGGGGGGGGGAGCCTATCACGGGTCAAATCTATTTTTTTTGTTTTTTTAGAAATCCACAAATGCGTAGTAACGTAATTGTATTTATGATAATATTGCTTGTACTAAAATTCACCTATATTTCAAGTGAAAAAACTATTCAGAAGCTTTGAAGAATGAAAAAAAATCGAATTTCTGGTCAAAAATGGGCTATTTTTGAGTCTAAATCAGAATGGATTTCTAATGTTGTCTGCATAGGAAGCATAAAAAAAATCAGATATCAGTAAGAAAAATTAAACACTAAAGAAAAAACGTTGGTTTTGCCCTCGTACCCCCACCCCCCCAGGGACGTATTTGGCATAATGTCATTTGGCATAATTTTTTGTGTGCCAAAATTATGCCAAATGAAATTATGCCAAATGAAATTACCAAATAACGTAAATCTCCCCCTCGGTAATGCAAAAGCACCAAAAAATCGTGAAAATGCAGCAGACGAAAGGAATCAAATTGCTTGGAGACGATCGTAATCGTACGCGTAAAAACGCGTTTCCTAGTGTATTTTTTAGCTTTTTTCGACAATTATTGACTACGTTACACTCCGCCACCAGACGATTTTTTGAGCGTATCATTGACAAAAAGGTGGCCTTCCTCGTTGTTCGCTCCCCTCAATTCTCGAATCCAGGGTCATCGATGACGCGCGCTACGCGGCGAGGAAGCGCCTGTGGGTATCGACCTTGGCATTGCCACCCGTCGACGCTTATCATTCGAAAATTGTGCCCTCGGGAATTTGCAATGGATAGTGTCAAGGAGCCGACCAGATTTACGTCTTTTTATTAATCCAAAACTACCAGAAAAAAACTAGAAAAATACCCCCGCTAACTCACCAATACCAATTTTTAAAGTATACCATAGTTCATCAGAAATGCATAAAAGTTGCGAAAAATTTGGCTTTTTGGTCAAAACCTATGAAAAATGGCCAGTAATTCGTTGGCTGGCATTTTTAAAAATCTACTGATAACCTGGAATCTAAAATTTTATTAAAACCCTTGAACAATGCCCCCCCGCTAACGCACCAGAGCCAATTTTTTAGCGATTAAACTCACCCCCGATTCACCTCAGGTACAACTACCCGAACCTGTCCCTGACCAACTCGTTGGCTGACCCCCTGGAGGTGAAGCTCGGAAACCAGTTGACCCTCTCATGCTCCCTGGCTTCGACAATCCCCCCTAGAAAACGTTCCAATTCTCGGGATTGAACATGGCCCTCTACAAGCCCCCCAAAAACACCCCGTCATCCTTGTTCGGCATGCAAATCTCGGGTGGCTTGGCTGTGGGAGCCGGATTGACAGCCGGGAGCTCTTTTTTGGAAATCGCTAATGGATTCAGGGAGTCAGGGGGCGTTTGAAAAAAGGTGATGCGCTAAAGGGTTGTCAAGAGCAGTGAAAGAAGCCACGGTATCCCGACTTTCCGCAACATTCCCATCAGACGCCCAATAAAACTAGACTGATTTGAGAAGCTTTCGCATTATCGGGGGGACTTCCCATTTTTACAAATTTTGATTAAAAAAATACAAAAAAATATTGTTGTTGCTCTAAACATAACAAAAATGTATAATTTTTCTACATTTTATATAGTTTTACTACTTGAAATATAGTAAATTATACTAAGAACACTATCAAAATATTTATTCTTCCATCAATAGACATTCCTCGAATCATAGGACCCCCCGATAATACAAAAGCTCCAACAATACTAAAAAAAAATTTTTCGACCCAAAACAGCTGCGATTTTCCATAAAAAAGCATTTATCAAGATTTCATAAAGTTTCTAGATAGTTCTTCGATAGTTTTTCGCTTGAAACCTTGTTAAATTTACTAAAGCAACTAAAAAAATATTCAGTGTTATTAGTTACTCTGGAAATTCAGATATGGCAAAACTCGGCCCCTCTAGAAATATCATAAGGCTAGTAAATACGGCGCTTTTCGTCATGCCTTCACGCTACACTTTTTACTCTTATGAAAAAAGTCCACAGCCCCACTAGTGGAGACATCACCCCAATGAGGCAACGATCCCCGGGTTTTTGCTTGCCCCGGTGGGAAAGGCATTGGCAATCATTTGAAGGGGGCTGGAGACGAGACTCGTGGGGGGGGAAGGGCAGAAGCCTGATCCGGACCTGACAAGGTGACCTTTTACCGGCTGAAGACCGGAATCGCTTCGAATCGTAGCCCCCGCCTTCCTCTCCTCCTCCGGTCCACAGTGCACGCTGCCCCGTATCCGAGAGCCGAGCCGATGGTGCTGCCATCAGCAAGAGCTAGCCACTGCGTGCGCCGATACGGGGAGGCCGGTGATTTATTTAGTCCATAAGAGGATGGGGAGGGTTGAGGGAATGGCATCGCATCTTTGAAAATCGATCTGATAATGGCGGGAAAATTGGTTTTTGAGCATAAGCTTCGTTTTTTAGGGGGCGCTTTTTTGTAGAGCCTGAAAAAAACCAACTAACCCTCCCTGCAAAAAATTAGATCTTTGAGCGCTTTGGCATTATTGGGTGGGGGCAACTTTCTCTCAGGAGCTTTAAAAATCGATTCGATAGCTCAAGAAAATTGGTTTCTGAGCCTGAGCTTCCTTTATTTTAATTAGTTTTAGGTTTTGACACTTTTTTGAAAATCCTAAACGCAAAAATAGCAAATTTCAGCAAAAAAAGGCGCACGGAAAGGGGACCACTGGATGTCTCCAAAACCAATTTCTGGGGAGTTTGTGCGCTGGTTCCGAATAACACCATCCCAGCTCGTAAAAACACATTTACAAAAAAGTGATTTTATCGGTATATTTCACGTCTGCAAACCGAACGGGGGCACTGTGCACCGAATTTGTATGCGCGAATGCCCTTCAGTCTTCACTTTAGTTTAAAAATTATTGTGGCCCTCAAGAGGGCCGTTTGTTTTTTGAGTGTGGGTTTGGCTCTGACGAGAGCCTTTGGGTTATGGCCCTAAAAAGGGCCTTTGGGTTGGGGTAGGGTCAATTGGACGCGTTATTCGCATGGAAATTGAGTGGCGACTTGAGACCAAAAGTTGTAGAAAATTTCGTCGGTCTGGCCGAATTGCTGTCGCCAATTAAATTCGCCGAGATAATCATCGTAATCGTCATTGTTGGCGGTGTTCATGCCATTAGCTCTCTTGATCTTCTTTTTAAACCTCGACCACTGGCTTTCCACGTTTTGCGTATGAGTACCAGTGACAGGGTCGACGAAGTTTTGCGAATGGTTCACAGTTAGATGTTGATAACCTTGAGGAAGATTGCCGATGCCACCATATGCGGCCCAACAATCGCTATGGATGATGGAACCTGGACGGATGTATTGTTGAATAAGCGGAAGCAGTGTTTGAGCGTCCCGACGGTCTACAGCTCTAGGAAGCCACGACCCGAACCACGTTCGATTCCTCCAAACATCCACATGCGTTGGTGGCCCGGCATTCGTCCTCTATTGTACTTGCGGCTCGAAATCGCCGTTTCGTCGATCTCCACGATGATACCCGGGCCTCCAATGGTTCTTGGGTTTGCCTTGAAGTGCTCCGAGAAAATATCACGGATCCACTGACCCCATTGCACAGCTGCCTCAGTACCCATTTCGACTTCAGCCTGGATTTGAGCAATGGCGCCGAACTCTTTCAGGTAGTAGTGGGTATAGTGGAAAAATTTTTTCAAGGCCTTCGTGTTTTCAAAGAAGGTACCCTTGTAATATCCGATCTTCGGTTTTGACTCGCCACGGCGGCACGCGCGTGCGTTACAAACCCATGATCGGCCTCCACCGGCTCCAGTACCATATACTACCATGTTCGGTTGACGACACTTTGGGCAAGTGCGAACGCCATGCAGCAAACCCATGCTCTTCAGCCAGTCTCGAATTGCTCATCGGGTAGGGCGAGCTGTTGATGAAGCTTGAGGAGATTCATACCCCAAAGGGCATTTATTCCAGCAGCGACGTTCATGTTGAACGAGGATGATAAAGCCATGATAATTTGCCCTTTTATACTATAGTACCGTACCCCACCGTACCCAAATATAACCCAAAGCGTCCATTGGCGCTGTGCATAGTAGCCCTCCGTACTGCTTTCAAAGGTAAAAAATAAGTAAAGTAAAAAAGTAAAAAAGTAAAAAAGTAAACTTTAAAAAACTTCTTCACGGGCTGGGATGGTGTTATTCGGAACCAGCGCACGAAACTACCCCAGAAAAATTGGTTTTGGAGACAATCCAAGTGGGTCCCCTATTCCGAAATAGCGCCAAAAAATACAACAATATGTTTTCGATACGAAAAAACGGGCCAAAACGAAGTAGGATTTCAACAAATTTCTAGGCTTTTAGATAGTTTTCCGCCTAAATATAGTTACATTTTACTAAACGCCTTATTAAAATAGGTGAATACCGTTTTTAAGTATATTTTAGATATCCCTCCACGTTTTCTAACCATGCTTAATTATACTAAAAGCCTAGTACAGAAAAAGAAAAGACAAAAATAACTTAAAAGTTCTTTCGACATAAATTACCACTCCCCGATCACCTGGCAATCATTTTTCAAATAACACGACAAGGAACGGGAAAAGCCGAGGGACAAATCGGTCGCGCCCACACGAAAAGCTCCCAAAAAAAAAGAAAAATGGCGGAGGAAGCGAACGGAGGGAAGAATAGGATAAGGAAGGGACATCATCATCATGCCCTTTTCGGTCAAAATTGAGGGATAGCCGCCGGGGCGTGCGATCAGACGGTTTCGCATAAATTCGGGACAAAGCCTGCCTGGCCGCCGATGACAAAGGGCAAGACGCAACGCGGCAAAAGGACAGATAGAGCTGTTCGTTTCCACAAAACTAACGAGGGGTCGTAAAAGTAAAAAAAGTGGTATAGGGATGAGCCTGGGCACAAAAAACCCATCACATCCCTAGAAAGAAGGGGCTGGCAATTGAATCACGCTGATTTTCCCATATTCAAAGGGCTGAAAGTTTTCATGGCGTTCGTGCTCAAAGAACCCTTCAAAAAAAGTTGCCGAAAGAAAAATTCTACCGAAATTTCGGCAAAAAAACGCTTTCCAAAGCGCCAACAATAAGCACTTTTTGGAATCCGTAAAATTTGAAACCTGGCGAAACGAAAGGCGTTAAAAATCTCGAAAAGGGGAAGCATTTTCTAAATACAAACGCTAGAAAGCCACAAACTCAAATCATCATCAACCGTAACCTAGAAAGCCTGATCTTTTCCGCAAAAAGCACCACTTAAGGCCCGAACACAGTGGATTTTCAAGTTTTTTGGCTTCACTAAAGGATTTAAAGGTCTCGGAGAGAGCAGAAATTTGAGCCATGATCTGTTTGAAGTTTTAGCCGGGCCGAGCTTCGAAAGATTTAAGGGGCCACGATGCAAAACAATAAGAAGATTTGTTCTCTTTTTCTCCTCCAAAAAAAAATACAATAGACATAGAATTTTTAAGAGTCGAATTTGATAATTTTTCCAGATTTCCTGGGGTAAATCTGAATTTAAAGATATCGATACGGCGCTACAATCATCCAATTTCTTCTAAAGTGTGGTCATAGCGAAAAACGTCCTAAAAATATTAGAAGAAAAAGTTTAATTTGCGAGACTAACGAATAAATACCTCGAAAAACCGACCTATACATAGCAATAGCCGCGTTCCGAGTAGTAGAAGCCGCATGAGGTGTGTGGCCGAGCTTGTGGATGCTTCGGCTGCCGTAGGAGGGGCGCTGGGAATGGCTTGAGCGGGGCGGAGGGGGAGGTCGAGGAGGAGGAGGAGGAAGGATCCCCCTGATCATTCCTCCTTCTCCACAAATTGACAGAACAATGCCCTGCAGCCACAAACCCCACCCATACATTGCCACATTGACACGCCAGGTTGACGAGTGCCCGCCAGGAGGAGCGTTTCGGAATGAAACACGCCCGACCGGGGTGTGGTGGCCATACTGATGAATTCCACAGAACGAGTGTCAACCCGGGTATTGATATGACAACCGGGGGGTTGAGACGGCTTCTCCCCGCATTGTTCGAACACGGTCATTTGGCAACAGTGGCGGTGGGTAAACCTGTTGAAGTCGACGCGTTCGCATCTAGGTTCTGGGTCGTTACCGGGGGGTTAACGTGGGAAAGTTTACTATAAAGCGAAGACGGAAGCTCACGCTTTTTTCGAAAATAACCTCATCATTTTGGACACTGAGGGCACTTGGCGCCCATTTGTAGCCAAAAAACGTTCGTAGTCAAAATGATAAAGCTTTATTAGACCAGCGCTCAGCACTACTCGCAAAACGAAAGCCGAAGTACCAATAATCACAGATCAATTCTAAGACCGTATCTGGGGTGGAATCTCTAGCGAAAGGGGAGAAATAAATAAATACAAAGTAGGGATAAACACATGCTGTGCTGCTTATTTGCGGCCGGAGCGCTTCTTGCGTTGAGCTCCCTTGGCTGGCGACTGGGCGACGCCGAGCTGGGCTTCTTCGACTTCCTGAAATAAAGGAGTGTTCCGAAGGTAAGCTAGACAGGTTTTAAATAAGAGAACAAAAGGACAATTCGAAATTATTACTTTAAAAATCTCACCTCACTGGTCACTTTGTTTCCATCAAGCTGCTCCTGGATTCTTGTCTGCGCCTCGAAGTGCATCATCAGGTCGTTGATTTGGGACCGTAATTCAGCCATTTCCTAAAATAACGTAGAATTTTGCCTATCCTAACCTCTATCTGGATTTCATCATAAATTATTTTACAGTGTTTTTAAAGATTTCTGATCGCCAAATACTTATAAAAAATCTTTATAAAACCCGGATTTCTTCGAGAATCGGTAGCACTGCCTAAAAATCCGTAAAATAAATCAAAAAAAATTAAATTTAATATGTTCCTCCAAGGGGACAGAGGAAAATTTGCTTTCGAACCAAACTCAAAATTCTGGCCACTCACCTCCGATTGCTTCTGCTTCTCCTTTTCCAGCACCACCACTTTCTCCACCCATTTATGATGATCGGCTCGATGAGCAGCGTTCAACGATCGTTCCTCTTCCAGCTCCGATACCGCCTCAAAAAAATTCTCAAAAATTCGAAAAACGTACCTTATTCAGACGGGTTTGCGCGGCCTGGCACTTCTTCTCAAGCGCCGTTTTCGAGGCTTGTCCTTGAGAAAGCTGTTCGCGCAGGTTATTACATTCGCTGACGGCCCGTTTCAGTTGTTCTTCCAGGTCGTCCATCTAAAAATGAAATATTGGTGGAAAAACCATTGTGTACCTGTGCCAGAGCCATTTTCTCAAAATTGCTGCCTTTACGCTGCTCTTCGGTAAGTTTGGCCTACACAAAGTTTTGAGACTCGAAAATAGGTGAACCTCGTAATGTTCCCGCTGCGCATCGAGCTGGGAAGTTAGCAGCACGGTGTATTCTATATTCAGCGAATCGAGCTTCCCATCCTTCTCGCCCTCAGACTAAAATTGGGCTCTTGAAAAACTCTAGAAAAGGATCGATTACCATCCCGCCTCGTTGATATTCCACAATCTTCCCAGAATCGCTGGAGTGAATGAGGCGATGGACATAATTGTCGCCGACGTAGTCCCACACGCGCTCGCCACCAACTTGTAGGCAAAATGTGTGGGAAGTAGATTCGAAATGTCTTAAAACACAAAATACGAACCTAAAAAGATAACCCTCACCGATAAGCGTGTGCATCGGCGTAGCGGCCACAACCAATATTTCCACAAATCAGACAAATCCACAGATCTGACGAGGAGCCGCAGTCCGTGCATCGTTGATCCGCTACCAGCTCCGGGGTTTGAGTATGGCGGCATACTGGACAGCTGTAAAAATGAAGCTTTTTATTTTCATGTAAGTACGCAAAACATTTTAGTTGTAAAACAAAAGCTACGTTGTATCCGTCCATTTCTGCAGACAAGTCGCGTGGAAAGTGTGATTGCACAAAATCGACAGCACTCCGTCATCCATCCTCTCAAGACACACCTGACAACACACGTGATATACATTTTCAAAAAACTCGATAATACCGCGCAGGTGGGCAGCTCCGCCATTTTGGTCATCTCGACCCGATCGGACTCGTCATCAGCCTAAATCACAGCGTAAAAAAACTTGATGAATGGCTACCGTCTCAATTCGGTTGACAAATAATAATGTGCAGCGATGCGCATCGACCCAATTGAATTCTTGGCCGTTGTACTCTTCATAGAAAATGACGCAATCGTGCTAAATGGAATGATAAGCTTAATTCCAAATGCGTTCCTACATGAGACTTGAACTTGATGATGACCATATATTGGTTCGGTGTCGAGTCCCTGACAATCTTCATATTTTCGATCGATTCGATTGAGGGTCGAATGAAGGAGATCTAAAACAATAAAAAGTTTTGTGGAAATTTACTAACCAGCTCGCGTGCAGTGACCTGGCTGGGAACTCCGAGCATGCACAACATTCTCGACTGTGATTCACGGGCGAGGGCCTCATCGCTAAAGGTTTTTACGATTAACAATACTTTGTCTAACTTGTATTTGTAGAAATGTAGTATCCCTTCAGTCTTCTCAATGAATGGATTGCCAGAGTAATAGGATAGGCTTTCTGGGTCTGAAAAAACAATACAAAAATTTCAAAGTTGTATTACCTGCAACAGGTTCACTCTGACTACGAGTTGAAGATTCAGGTGGAGAAAGCTCGTGCAGTTGTGCGCTGTCAAAGTGCTCGACAACAACTTCAGAATATGTGCGTCGACCGTGGAAATTTGAATCTGGGTTCCGCGGGGCACCCTGAACGCTATCGATAAATTTGATAGGCCAAAACCTACATCTTGGTGATATTTCAAAGTTGGCGGAGGTAGAGGCGCATCATTAGCATTTCCCAGCTAGAAATAGAAAATGTGTTTTTTTAAAGCATACCTGAGGGCTGCGTTTCTTCATTTCTCGGTTAGGCCGACGCTTCGGTGTTTTCTGGGCCCCTGAACGGATATTTTCCAGATGCGAAAGGCGTTGCCTTTTGTAAGAGGTGTGGAATCCTCCGAGAAACGGATGCGCTTCGAGTTCTTTTTGACCTCTAGCCGGATGAGTATGGCCGATGTATCGGCGCTCATCCAACAAGTGCTAAAGTATTGCGTATTCCACAGCTATCCCATATTTCATAAGCATTTATCCGCACCAAAGGTGTAAAAATAAAAATGGAAATCCGGAGGTGAGGCTTCCACGTAACATCAACTCGTTTATTTCATCAAACAAAATTCAACAACGTGCGAATAACAAATTAATACTAGAAATAGTGTCTAATGCTGCTTGACGGCTTCAACAAAGGCGTCGAATCGTTGACGGTCCATCAGTATGACGCGACGATATGGGCGGAAGGTTTTTCCATCTTTTACCTATTTCCGGGGTAAAAAAATTGGTTTTATCTAACCTGATTCGCAAATTTGCTACCGGCTTCGATCTCGCCCTGCACATTGTATTCGTAGAAGTACGCGTTGCCTTGTTGCAACTAAAGAAAAAAAATTTAGTGTTTTATCTTTTCACTTTTTAACGTCAAATAACCTTCAGCAACAGATCGTCTTCAAAGCAATCGTATTCAATTTCAGCGCTCTCGAGAGCGGCTGCGGCGAGGCGCTTCTTCTCAGCTTTGCCCATTTTTCGATTAGAGACCACCGGCTTCGGAGCTACAATTCTCAATTTAGGCTCTAAAAACAAATTCCTAACCTGTGGAATCAGCGACTCGCAGCTTTTGGATGTAGATGAAATTCGTCGGCTGGTCCTTCATCTTTGAGACGTCCTCCCTAAAAGTCCACGATTTTATCCAAAACGCAAAAACGTACTGGAAAGCAGCGAAGCTCGGTGCGGCGATCTCTTTCGGGAAGTTCAACATTCTCTCGTTGATCAACCAGTGACAGGGCTTCTAAAAGAAGAGAAATAGATAATAGATAAACGTATAAAGAATCACCTGCAAAGCCTCTTCAAACTTTTCCAGTATGTGCTTCGAAGCGTTCTTCTTGGCTCGAGTGAGGATGAACTTCTGAATCTCAGCGGTCGCCTCCTAAAAACATTGACGAGCTAAAACAAAATACAAACCGTGGTGAAAGGCAGAGCCGTCAGAATTCCATAAACGACGTTCGCCGTTTCGTCGTCGGCAGACGATTCGGCGGGCTAAAGAAAAATGATAAGCTCGAAAATTTCCAACTCACTCCGATCACCGAACCAAACGGAGATTGGGCGATGATGGCCTCGGCAACCTTGCGAAGATCCAGATCGGCATGCAAAAATATCTAGAAAGTTATATTAAGATTTTTAGAAACTCCCAACCTGCGTGAGCATATTTACGATACCGTCGCGGTCATCCTCTTCCATAGGAAACGCTTCGAACTCAAAGTCAAGCATCTAAAACGGCTCAATTTCACGAAAAGTAATTTTTACCTCGCCAGTCTGTTCGGCAAATAGCTCCTCATCGCTCTCATCTTCGTCTTCATCCGAAACTTCCTCCTCAGGTTCAGACGGTTCTTCCGATTCAGCTTCTTCTGCTGGAGGAGCGGCTTCCGGCAGCTTCTTTTTCTTTCTTGGAATTTCGACGGCAACTTCCTTCGATGTTGAGGGCTGCTAATTTAAAGGTTTTTAAAATATAAAATAACTCGTACCTCGCTGTTTTTCTTTCCCTTTTTCGAGGTTGCCTTCACCACAGCCGCAGGTTCGGCCTAAAATAAAACTTATTAAGCTGCGGGGCTCAGAAATTTTACCTGAGCCAATTGTTGTAGCTTTCTCTTTTTCGCCATGACGTTTTCGCGATGTAGACGAATTGTTGCCTACCTGGAATGGGGGCCTTTGAAAGGTTGCCATGGCGTAAGCTATTAGGGGGTACGGTTGGGAGGACAGAAAAAGGGGGCACGTGGAGCCTGGTTGGTCGTCTACCCGGTTGTAAAGAAAAAGAAGCTATTAGCAAGCTCATAAAAACAATAAAATATGGAAATTTGCGTCCATTACTGGGATTCATGGAGACCGTATAAAAAAAATTATGAAAAGCCCGATTTAACAAAATTTAAATTTTCAAATGGCTGGTTTTAAGGGCGCCGCGGCGCGACCCCCACAAAAATGAAGTAGCCAACAGGGGAGAAAGCGCGCCCGGGGAGAGCAGAGAACTCCAGCGCGTAACGATTGACATGCCGTCGGCATCCCTTTAAAGAAAAAGTAACTACAAGACAAGAAAAAGAAACCAAGCTTAATAAAACAAAAATATTGAACATAACACCAGAACGAACATGAACGAAACCATCTCTAAAAAAAATGCCAAAAACTTGTTTAAAAAGTTTCTAAATTTTTAGACAATCCAAAATCCACGAGCCAAACCCAACCTGATGCCTGACCGGAAGTCATCCCCAGCTGACGGAACACCCCTGCGCAGCTGCTCATGCTTTATGCATAAAAATAACTGGCCGCCCCAGATGCGTGCCTCCCAAAAACGGGAGAGAAAGAGAAGAGCTTTGCCATCGTTGGGGCCCCCTCGGGGAAATCGATGTCGCGCTGCTAGAGCATTTCTTTGCCATCTTTTTCCCATCTACTTCCGAATCGGGCTCACGCCAACAATAGCTTAATTGGAACAGAGTGCACTGCCACCAGCTATACGTCTCATCGCCCCGGCCTTTTCCCTGCAACTATGATTGATTTTTGGGCGGTTACTAGCTAAATATATTCTCCGGTTCGTCATGATTGTGCTAGCGTGGTCATTCATTTCGTCGGTGATTGAATTCCAGAGGAGACGCCGTTTAAAAGTAAGGCTCATACAGATTAAATAAGGCTGAAAAATATTATAAGTACAACCACCGTTTTCAGGCGTGTCTAGATGCATTTTTCCGAGATCCCGCGAATCAAGGCCGGATGCTGCTTTTCAGGAATATTGAGGAGCCGTAGGCCAGAAGCAACCAAATGAATTAACCAAACCCTAGATCAATAAGCGCGGCGTCAACAAGCAATTTCTTGGATACTCCTGGAGTTCTAGTGAAGTTTTCTTCGGAACCGTTCCTCAATAGGGTGCGTTTTTTGTAAAATTTAAACTAAAGAAAAAACAATATTGTAGAAAACTAAAAACTTTTAAAAGCAATTTTCAGAACTCTCCACGTGTCATTTACGCAAATGAAACCAAAGAAATTGTGGTGGTCCCGGCAGAGGTAAGACTCTAAAAGCTGCAAGAAACTAAATTTGTGTAGGAGCTGAATGCAGCTGAATGGCGCTTCTGCCAGTTCAACTCGCCATATTCTTCCACAGACTCTTTAGATGCGATGAGGTTTTTACAAAATCAAAAAGTAAAACTACCGAATTTTCAGAATCTTCTTCCTAGCCTCAATGCAACCCACAAAACAAAAACTAGACGCCGACAATCTCCCGGAAGCTCTTTTAGTTGGTTGCAAAAAATTGCTAAAAATTTTTTTAAGCTGAACTCCACATGCTCAAGGGCCGCGTTCTCGGCCAGAAAAACAGGCGACGGGTTATTTTGCTGTGCACTTGAGGATTTTGTGGATGTGAGTGCTGGGGATAATTTCATTAAAGCTATTTAATTTTTAGGTGGCATACGCATGGAGCATCGATGCTTTACGAGAATCAGCAAACTCCCCATTAGTTCTTTCACTAAAAAGTAAGTTTGAAGCAAAATTGGGGCATGACTTCTTTAGCTTATTCGTTGGAAGAACCGGAAGTCACGATGACTCGGTCCACATGCAGCGCCTTGGTGTCGAAGCGGGAGAGCAACGCCTCATCAGTAAAAAAAACTCAACTAAAAATTCAAGCAAAATTCAAGTTCCTCTCCTTCCTGCCTCAACAAAGAGCCATGCCGATCTTGGAACAGCTATTCTGGGGTGACCAGTTTGGTTTCAACGGCTCCATCAAGCAACGGTAAGCTAAAATCATAAAACCCCTACATCCGCCCAGATTCATGTCGGAAGGCGCGTTAAACGGAGATTTCCCACTAACAAGGTGAGCTCTTTTTATTGTGGATCATGTTTTTCGTGACGAGCTCCCCCTAATCCCCAAGGGAGAAAATGAGGCAGGGCCCTAATCAAGTCAGGGGATTATGGAAGGACAAAGTAAAAGCCGCTGATCAATACACTTCTTGCTCCCCCGGGTACCTACATGAAAGAGCAAGGATTTTAGTATTGTGAACCTCTCGCCCATTCGAAAAGCCAGAGCTTCCGGAACAGCTCGTTCTCTGAGATCACGGGCCCCGAGTCCTTTGGCAATTGAGAGTCGACGCGAGAACGGTAAGCATTCTAATACTATTCAGCCTGATTAGGTCGTCGCACTGGCCCACTCTCGCCGCCGTTCCAAAATAGCGGCCGCGGAAGCAATTACGGCAGCTTGCCGTCCAGCTATCGCAATCAATCTTTGCCACCATATTTGAGGCAGCTTGAGCACGAGAAGGAGGCTGCGAAGATTTATCTTGAAGTGAGTTCAATTGCGAATTTAAAGCATTAAAAATCGGACTTTTCAGAAACAGAGGGCAAAACGGTCACTGGACTCGGAGACTGAAAGCTGCTCTACATTGACCCCTGAGGAAACCGAGCCTTGTTCCACGACTAGAGCAGATCAAGTTGTACCTAGCGGTAAGTGGAATACCCCCAGTTTTTATGCGCAATGTTTAAGCAGTACATCCCACCACCATAAAAATCTTGACGGAACCTATAAATTCGTCGCTAGATACTCTCGAAAACCTAGAACACTACGCTGAACATCGAATTGATACGAGGTAAGGCCAAAGAAGCAAAAAATACAGCTGCTTTTTAGGATTATCGAGGAGGATTTCCACTTTATCGACTCGGACTCAACTAGTTGCAGCATGGATGAAACGCCAAGGAGTGCTTTACTGGTCAGTTTATTAGCTAGCCACCATGAAACCTATGGTCTAGTTGAATCAGGAGCCGAATGGCCGGCCTAAAATCAACCCCAGTAAAAACTCAAAGAGCGTCGATTACGAACACTATGGCGCAACGGTAATTGGAGAATTTCTGAGTGCCATTTAAATTCAGACGACCCCACTAAATACGCCAAGACCGGAAACACCCTCTGGATTTTCCTTGAGCAGTGGGCGTTATAGGGGGTAAGTAATAAAAAAAATATAAACCTCAATTAGTCCTCAACGGTCCCCGCTGCTAGAAATGGCGCGGAAGATGAGCTTGCGCGACGATGACAAGGACCCGATCGATCCGCAGGTGGGGCTGAAAAAAATATAATTGATAGGAATCATTTAGTTGCAAAAACTAACGACTTTTGAATTACTGAAAAGGAGGAGGCACTCTTATATGCCGCAAATGTCAGACGACGAACTTGATGGTATGATTTTCCGAAGCGAAGGACATGCGGGTACTGATACCTTATCGGTGGGGAAAGGGTTCTAATTTTTGGAAAGGGTTCTAGCACAGCAATCTTAAAATTCGCTGGAAAAAACGGCTAAACCTTTACCCGACAAAATCATGCAAAAAGCTTCAAACACCGCCATTTTGGCATTTTCGCTGCAAACACTACTTCAAAAGTACCAAAACCTTCATACTATTTAGGTTCGAGAGGCCGATCGCTCTCGCCAAAGCTGAAAGAAAGAAACGGAAATGTGAAGAAGCGTGGGAACACTATTGGTGCGTTTTACAATCACATGAAAATCCGGGTCTCATATCGTGTTGTTGACAACAAAAACGGGGGTTTCTCTCCGCCTTCGCGCTCTCTTCCCCTTCTTTTCTGCGCCTTTTTGCAAGCACTTCCCGTCAAACACGCTATGTATTCCTGGGGGCGATCAGCGAAAATATCGCGACTCGCCCCGGGAGCCCTTGAAATCTTGCAAAAGATCTCTACAGGGGAGCATCGCTTCCATTCGAGAGGTTCGTCGGCTGAATAAGAAATTTTCCAAGCGTTTCATAACTTTTTTTTGGGAAGAAGACTGCATTTGAAAGGTTTATTCGTTTTGTAAAGGGTTTTGATGCGGAATTTTTAATTTCCGCTACGCTACAAAGTATAGATTCAATAAAATATTTTTTGTAAAAAGTTTTGTCTTTTTTGGGTTGTCTAAAAGCAAACGCCTCAAAAAAGAAGCTACAAATGAGTTTGGAAAACCCAAAGTAAATTTTTTGAGGCACTTTTGGTTTTTCTATAATTCGTAAATTTTAGGGTTCTCGATTTTCGGAAGTGGACGCGACTCGTTCCGGAAGGAGCTGTTTGCGGCGCCACCCCGTCGAATGAGCACATCAACAAGATCCCGGGACCCTAGCCAAGAACGACCCCCACAGAAACCTCCGACGGTACGTGAATTAATAACATTTTATATACCCTTCTTTTCAGATCCTCGTCTATTCCGGGGAGGACCGAGCGCTCTACCGGAAAATCCGTGACTGCTTGTCGCGCTTCATCCCGGCCGATGTTTACACGGTATTCAACCTCCTGCCTGAACACTTCCGGAGACAATCCTGGATCGAACCCTCATCGGTATCTCCTTTCCTAATTTTTTAAAAACTCAAACAGACATGCCTGCTGATCGCAAATACGAGCGGGCTGGATGACTTGGCCTGGACGCGTCTTCACCAATTCTTCAATCAATCTGGGAAGATAATATTCGTCTGTCAGAACAAGCTACTGGCAAGCTTCACAAGCGCCGAGTCGCCAAAGAAACAGGCGAATATGCTGAAGGTTGATTTATAGGCTCGGAAAATCTAACTAAGTTTTCAGATGGCGTTTGGCGATAAGGCAAACTTTTTCGGGAAGGATTTCGAGAACTTTTTGAAGAAAGCTTTGAAGACACTTTCGAAACACAACGCCGTGAGTCGCTAAGTTTTGCCTTTTTAGTTTTTTTAGGTACACGAATCCTACCAATCGAAAGATATCGTCGGAGGGTCAAAGTTTGGGGTGGTGATTTCGAAGAAGATTGGTATGTTGCAGACGAAATTTTAATTTTTTAATTCTGGGTTTTAGATACCCCACTCCTTCTCTATATGGAAAACAGTGCGCACCGAGCATCAGCCGTATTTTCGGACGCCACACTGGATCAGTTGTTAGCTCCGGATTCATTGGTTTGATCCAATTTTAGCATAATAGTTTCTTTTAGATTGTGCGTGATGCTTTATCACGGATCGGGATTCGCATTTTGGAAGGTGAAGGAAAGATCCCGAGTCTCACACAGGGCTATCTGCAAATGGCGTCGGCAGCCGAGTTGAGCAAACTGGAACAAGTATATTTGGTTCTTTGGTCTAATTTTTGATTTTGTAGCGAGTACTCCTCGGCGAGGCCACCGGCTCCACACCTCGAATATTTTTACGCAAAACGGAAAAGATTGTGGAATCACCTTTACCAGCCGCCACTCCGGAACTGTTTCCAGTTGAGGTCATCTCAAGGTTGAATTTAGACGAGCTGTTTTTTAATTAGGTTTTAGTAACGCGGCACTACCCTCCTTCAATTCCGCTGCCTATTTTGGTGCCCTTCGCGCACGGCGGTTAGGAAAATGTCTGGTCTACGCCCCAGTTTGCACGACGACGATGCCACTTTGTCAAAGGTAGAAATATCTGTGTTTTTTTTGTAAACTATGATTTCAGCCTCTCCACGGCAATCCCAGGATATGAGGGTCTAATCGTTGTGGCGAGGCAGCAACTGGCCGGTCGAGGTTTGTCATCAGTTTCCGCTTTTATTTTGTTATTCAGGGCGAGGCGGCAACGAATTTATTGCGCTTCCGGGGACGGCGATGTTCACGCTCAATTGTATCCTGCCCAAATCTTGTCGACTAGCCGAGAACCCTTCGCTGACACAGCACATTATGGCGACGGCGGTTGCGGAGTCGGTTCATAAATTGGCTGGTGTAGATGTAAGTTTATTTTTCTGGGTTTTTATATGATCTATTTCCTATAGGATTTCCCATTCTGCTTGAAATGGCCAAACGATTTCTACTCGGGGCGGACGAACAAGGTCGGCGGGTTGCTGGCTGAATGTAAGCATCGGGACGAGTCGCTGGAATTTATCATCGGTATGATTTTTCTCGACAATTTGACCAGATTTAGGTGTCGGCATTAACGTGTCAAATTCTCGACCGACGATTTGCCTAAACGATATGCTGCCCGAGGATCATTTGTTCGAGTTCCAGGTGGAGACGTTGTTAGCGGAGATTGTGTCGCGATTCGAAGGCGAGTATTTGGTGAAATTCCTGTCTATTACAATGTTTTAGAGCTACTGCTCGAGTATGAGCTGGGTGGATTCGAGAAGTTCAAGCCGTTATACGAGAAGTATTGGCTTCACAGGTTCGTGTTTTTATTTACTTTGTACTAAAATTTTTTTAGCCGAGAAGAAGTGACGTTAGAAGACGGCGACAGGGTGATGATCAAGGGGATCGACGAGTATGGCTACATGAGTGTGAGAAGCAAAAAGTCCGCAAAGGTACAATTCCATCAACTGTTCAATTTTACATTTTTGTAGGTCTTTTCGATTAGCGACGACGGCAACTCGTTCGACATGATGAAGGGGATGATTCGACTCAAGCTGTGATTGTCGTTGCCTTGTTTTAGCTTTTTTCCTAGCATTTGTTGCGATTCGTTACATAGCCACTAGTAATCTACGGGTTATCCATTTGAACAATTTGGCTTCCAGAGTTTTATGCCGTGTTTAGGCGCTATAATAAATTATCCTGAACGTCTGAACGATCTAAATATCATCAAAAACCGACAAACACCACGACAGTGCTTACAAAAACATTTATTTGGATAGAGATAGGATCGAGATAGGACACAGACGGAAGGGGACGAGCTGGGCGAGCTGCTGCGCTGCTCACAGTTCGTCTTCGTAGACGCGGTCGTGCTCGACGAGGTCAGCGTTGGCACCCGTGTACAGATAGGACTTGAGGGCTTTGAAGCGGCCGTAGCCGGGGCCAATCTAAAAGGACGGGGATTTCCGGCAGGCTTGATTAGATCGTTATCTGGGTAATGATCTATTAGCGCCGGGGAACCCCCGCGCTAAAACGCCAGTACCGCTAAGTTCATGCCTCATTACCTGGTAAATGGCCCTCCTATCGAAGACCATTTTGCACGGCAACAAGATAGAGTGCTGATAGGTGCGGGTGACGCTGAAATTTTTGAATTTGGAGAATACTTGTTGCCAACTTGGCCAAAATCTCGCCGTCCGCCGTCTTGGCCACCGATTCGATCGTCACGTCGACGCCTTGGAGAGCCACCAGGTCAACGCCATCATATTTGAAGTCTAAAATGGACAATAACAATAACGATTTCCCGGTTTCACCAAAAAGAAGCGCATCGGCCCTTCGGAAGCAGGCGACTTCGGCTGTGCTGTCGTACTCGTCAAAGCCGTCATTCTGAAGCGCGAAATATGGTTAGAAAAGTGCGCTTTTTATTATGGGGGAGAGTAATTTTTCTTTTTTTCTAATCTACCTTTTTCAAATTTTTCTCCTATTCTAGGATGTGCTTTAACACCGTTTAGGATCATTCGTAAATGTAGAACCGTTCAATTTTTGCGACAATTACAAAAAAAAGTTATATTTTGATCTAACATTTTCTACATTGTTGGTACGAGTAAACAAACATTTTAGATGCCTAGTTATCAAAAAAGATATATCTTTAGTCGATTATATTTAATGCAGCTATTTTAGACGGAAAAACCATCTCGAAAATTTCGGAAGTTAAAAATTTAAATTTTGTAAGGGTTTTGAGTAGAAAAACAAGAAAAAAATTAAAACACAATCTAGAGCCAAAAACAGTGACATACGGCATGGAAGCACTTGTCGAGGCGATAAAGCCGATCACATCCGCTGGCCGGTGCGAAGTAGACCATCGGGTCGAGGGGCAACGATGTGTTGTCGACGTATGTTGTCTATAGATACGGATATAGACGCGGATATTCAGGTTTTTTTTGAGGCTACGGGATCAAGGCTCGTCTGCTTCCTCCTGGTCCAGATGCGGTCGACGCGCTGCACGCGGAGATTCATGTCGACCGCCACGATTGACATCGACATCGTGTACGCGCCCAGGGGATCTGGATGCCAAGGGGTTGGCGCTTTTCAGTAGGCCCACTTCCACATTCGGCAAACTTGACGGTGGTGAGGATCGTCTCGTAGACGTCAGCACCATTCAGGCGAGACGGGTTCAGCTGGTTGCAGAACGAATTTCGATCGACCCCTGGAAGTTGGATTCGGCAGTGAAGAGAGGATGATGTAACGACTACGTAACGAAACACGCAACGAAAAACGTAACTACGTAAAGTAAAACTAGCGCAAATTTTAAAAAATTGTAATTTTTTAGTTTTCCGCTCATTTTGGTGTAAAATGTAAGATGCTATAAAAGGTGTTTTTGCTAGAGGGCAGCACGGGATAGATGCGAAATTTTGAAATTTTTGACGAAAACGAGACTTAAGAAAAAAAACACGAAATTTTCGGTAAAAAAATAGCACATTTCACAGTTCCTAATCAAAATTTGTAACGTTTTTAGGTTTAAGAATAGTTAAAGAAACGGTTTAGAGACGCTTGCATTGATTTATAGGAAAAAATTGGTCCCCCGGTAATTCGAAAGCACGACTTGTAGCAGTTCACCAGTAAAACCCACTGAATGACGTCTTCTCAACCGTTGCCAGCGTTGCCACCAAGCCGGCGAGCAGTAATGAGAAGACGACCAAATATCGCGTGTGCATTTTGTACGTATAAATTTTTCGACGCCATTTTCCGCCCCCAGTAATTCCCAGGATTTATTCAAATTCGAGGCAATGTGTACATTTTGAAAGTGGGTAAAGTCGGGGGGTTGAAAAGGCGATTTCCTTGAGGAATGGCGGCACAAGAACCGAGCGGCACAAACACAAAAATACGGGGTCTTTTCAGAGATGTTTTTTTCAGGTTGCGAGGTGTTCATACGGGTCCCGTCGGTCGCATCATGTTGTGCGGGTATTCGCCCTTGGTCTTTGGCGAGAACAGCAGATTTGACCTGGAAAAAGGTAGGTTTTCAAGTCGTTTTTAGTTTAGAGACTATTTTTTTTTTAAGAATTTGGGGGGAAAAAAAAAAAAAAAAAAAAAAAAACAACCCACATTTAATAAAAAAATTAAATTTAAGGAAAAAACAAAAAAAACATAAAAAGGGGGGGGGGAAAAAAAAAAAAAAAAAAATCCCCCCCTCAAAAAAAATTAAAATTTTAAAAAGATTTTATTATAAAAAAAAAAAAAAAAAAAAAAAAAAAAAAAAAAAAAAAAAAAAAAAAAAAAAAAAAAGAAAAAAGGGAAAAAAAAAAAAAAAAGAAAAAAAAAAAAACCCCCGAAAAAAAAAAAAAACATTACGTTAAACGTTTTAGCCTAAAAAGTCGTTTTGTACCGGTGGATATGGGTGCCCGCGGGGTAATCTAATGGGTTAACGCGGGAAAAAAAAAGGCTTTTCGCCTCCCCCCGGGGGGGGTTCCTCTCCCCGGCTTGCCCCTTCCTTTTTTGGGGGGGGGGGGGGGCGCGCGCCCCCCCCCTTTAAGGCTTTTAAATCATGTAATTTCGGGGCAGCAATAATTTTATAGCTTTAGCAAGGTGAATCTTTTTAAAAATCGTTGAAGCAGATAAGAACTGGTAAATAAATACCTTTAATTTGAAGCATTTGACCAAACAAGCAGATTTGACCTAGAAATGAGATTCTAAAATAAAACTGACTTGCCAAAAACAAGTGGTTTTTGTAAGCCAGTTTTATTTTAGAGCCCATCATTACTTAAAAAAGGTGTTTAAAGCCAATAAATACTTTTAAACTATAAAAAAAGAGTATTTTAGGATTTCTAAGGATTTTTGAACCTTTAAAGGGTTGCCGGCGGGTGGGGCCGACCCCCCCAAAAAAAAAGAAGGAAGGGGCCAAGGGGGGGGGGGGGGGGGGGGTTTTTTTTTTGCGCGGGAGCGGGTGTTTTTGTTTGGGGCGCCCCTAAAAATTACCTGTGCGGGATGGGGTCATGGGGTCCGGGGGTTGGCACGTGGCTGGCGCAATAAACCTAAAGCCAGCTGATTTATTGATTTTCGCTAAGCATGATGTGGAATTTTACTTTTTTTTTAAGCTCAAAATTCTATTTTTTAGACGATCTTCTCCACTCACTTCGAGATCCTGCGTGTCGTTTCGGTTATTGTGATAGGTCTTGAGGGATAGCCGCGTCCCGCAGATCCAGCACTTGAAGCACCCCTTGTGGAACAGGGAACCGTCTTTCAGCGGGCCAACCTGCAATAGGAAGGTATAATTTTTGTTATTAATCGTTTTTAGGTAAAACCTCTAAAGCATTTTACAATATCCAATTTTCGTCCCTGTTAGATAAAAATATATTGGTTTATTGGCACTGAACTATTAGCAGAGGGGGGGGGGGCTAAGTAAAGCTCGTGAAGCTCATTTCGAAATTTTTGATTTGGATTTTGGCTCAAAAAGGTATAAAAAAGCCCAGGAAGATCAAAAATTAGGGTTTTGAAAGGGTTACTGTTTTTATGACTTTTTTTCTTTATCTTTAGTGATCAAAAACTGCCAAAAACTATAAATAATAGTCTAAGTAAACAAGGCTGGATCAAGGGATGCTCTGCGCTAACGAGACAGATCGTTAAAAAACTAAAAACCACCGACCTTGTCGTTGAAATAGGTGGGCCGCTTACACCGAAAGCATGGCTCCTTCATTACCTGAAAAATATGATCATAGAGATTAATGAGAGCGTGGCACCAAGAGATTAGAGATTAGACAAGACGAAGAAACGGAAATTCCCGAGGCATACGTCAATTCTAGGCGATCAAGCTACGTGCACGCGGCGCGCGTGGGCGGACAAGATCGTGGTTTTTGCAGAAGCGGGGGCCATGGGTCGGTTTGACATGACGATCGGTATGTTGGTTTACGTAGTCTCCGCCGGGGAAAAGCGGGCGGTGTAGCAAAATAGAAATGATGAGCTGCTAGCATTTGATAGGAAATTGGCGGCGGGGGTTTTATCAAAGCGGCAAGTTTCTTAGGAAGGTACCATATTAAGCTCCGACAAAAGCTAAGAATCTCGACGTAAAGATGCCAAAACTTATGGAAAGGTTATGAAAGCATGGGAAAAGCCGGGGTGTTGAAGCAAAATGCGAGCGCTAATATCGTTTATCGCTAAAAATAAATTGTTACTACTCGAAAAGGAATTTCTTTGGCAAAGCACGTAGTAGAGTTTTTAGATAGGGTTCAGGCGATATACACCTGGTGTAGAACGCAGCGATACGGGTTTTTTGGTTCTCGCGGCGCAGTTTCGAAACGGGAGCAACCTATTTTGTAGGATGTGCGAAACGCCAGATTAAAAAAGTTGCGAAGCTTTAAAGTGCAAAAAAGAGTATTTCAAGCTTCATAACTTTTTAAAAGCGTCGTTGCGCAGAGCCTACGAATTACGCTTTGCAGAGCAAGAAAACCTGAATAAGCTTACTGTTAGGCTGGGCACCTTTTCTGCGCTTTGTGCAGAATTGTTCGCTGATTCCGACGCAGTTTTGAGAATCTTCGAAACTACCACGCTTAGAAAGTTATGAGGCTATAAG